TCTCCTGACATTGGCATTGGCACAGCATGCTTCTGTAACCATATAGTCCTGCCCGAAAATTCACAGTTCATTATTCAGCAGTGGGGGGCCCTCAATAAGGCCGGTGGCCCTCAATAGCGCCGGTAAAATTGCTGGGCGCAGCCAGAGTCCTCAATAGCGCCACACCGGCGTTATTGAGGGCGGCTCGCAATAACGCCGGTGTGGGCACCTCTTCACCCCGCAATAGCGCCGGTTTCTGTTTTTTACACACACATAAACCACACACCACGCACCTGCCCTGAGGAGGTTACACACCAGTAGCAGTACACACGTGCATCTACAGACCCTACAGCTCCACGTAGAGGCGCACCACGCCTTGTGCGGAAGGTGAGTGGTGCCTTCAGCAAGACAAGACGCCGCAAGCTCCTAATGGCCACGGTTGCAAGGGAGGATGTGGCGTGCGGCTCCACGGCAATTGCGGCAGCATGGTTGACGACATCGAGCAGAACCGCATCTGCAGTGCGTGCGTCGCGAAGAACGGCAAGCGCAAGGCGCCAGCGCCACCGGAGGGTGCTGGGGCTCGAAAACCCAAGTCCCAGAGGACGAAAAAGAAAACACGGGGGGGTGGCGCCACTCGTACGTTCTTGACCTTCGACCAGAAGCTCCAGGTCCTGGATATGCTAGAGAGGAAGGTATCCCATGAGCAGATTGCGGGCTCCTTCGGCTGCTCGGAACGGACGGTTCGTCAAATGAAGCTGACCAGGCGAAGATCAAGGAGAAGGCAACCACAGCAGGCGCAGGCGGCAAACAGTGCTCTCGGCAAGGAGACTTTCCAGAGGTGAGACCCACACCGCTGGAACCAAACCAATTGGTTTTCTTGTTTTTCAGGCGTGGATTCAAGCCCTGCCTGTGAGTGTTTCTTTTCTTCGTCGACATTTTTTGCCGTTTTTTCCTTCCATGTTTTTGAATTATCTTCACATGACACAACAAGCCCATCTCCTCCATAAATGAGAGTCGGGGATATAAAAGTAGCAATGAAGCCACAGCGTCAGCGGAAGCTACTTCTCGATTTACATATTTTTCTACGACGGTTAAGTATACTGACGTCTTGCATAAAGCACTCCTTCGGTTGTTTGACTTTTTTGCCGATGATGAGACAAAAAACAGCACAAGTACTTCGCAGAAACAGGGCTGTATGCGCGGTCGAGCCGGTTGCGCTCTACTTGTACACGTCTAAATTGCCGTTGCGCTCTCCCGCACCCTCTCTCTCATTTTCGCTGCATCGTCACCAGGTGGATGAGTTGGTAGTGAACCTTTTCAAGAAAGCCAGGGAGGCCAAGATCTCCGTCACGCGCGACGTCATCCGAAGCTTCGGACGCTCCGCGAAGACCACCCTGCTTGGAACAGCAACAACTTCTGCAGCAGTCTGGAAGAAGCTGAAAGAGTTCAAGGCCGGCGATCGATGGGCCAAGAACTTCGTGAAGCGCAACGGACTCCACAGCCAAAGACTTCATGGCGAGGTAGGCAGCGTCGACACCGAGCTCATCAAGAGGCAATCAAGGCCCTCTCCGCAAAGTTCCCGGCGAGGAACATCTTCAACGTTAACGAGACAGGCATCCAGTGGAAGGTTATGCCCAGGCGCACGCACCTTTCCACCTCCGAGAACCGGAAGACGACTCGGGGCTCAAAGGATATGACTTGGACGCGATTCAACGGAGCGAGGAAGCCATGGACGCGGTTCGGGTTTGGGGAACCTTGGAGGATGAGGATAACGTGCTAGACGCGATACGAGAGGATGCGGCAGAGGAAGTCACTGCACGGCTAGCTGGGATCCACTTGAATGACGATTCGGAGGAAGAAGAGAAGGGGGAAGATGACGAAGACGTGAGCACGGAGCGCGTTAGGGGTGCCCCACCGGCCTATCCTGAACTGTCGTCTCACTTCGGCGTCCTGGAGCGTGCTGCGATGGAGTGTGGGAACGCACACGCTGCCTTTTACCTGTCTAAAGCCAGGATGGCGATGATCGCAGCGCATGCTGCAAGGCAAACGCTCCAGACAGGCTGAGGGAATTTGTTGCGACGGAAGATATTGAAGCGGAATGAGGAGGGGAGATAACGCGGAGGTGTATTCAAAGCCGTTGTTTTTTGTTGTTTCGTTTCTGGCGTTTGATCAGCATGCTGCCGCATTTCTAGATGATCAGGTAAGGAACACAATAACTCTAGGCGGCCCAATTATCCTTTGCATTCCGCCCACTTCACCACTGAATCGTTTCCCATTTAATTTGTGAATATGTTGGCTCCGTAAAGCGCAATCGCTGTGCCACATGGCCACAATCCCTCATCAGCGCCACAACCGGCGGTATTGAGGGTTTCTGAGCCCTCAATAGCGCCGGTTGTGGCGCTATTGAGGCACAATCCCAATAGCGCCGGTCGCTCTGAATAGCGCCGGCCGAGGCGCTGAGATTGAGGGCCCCCCACTGTGTAGGCACCACCCAAAATTGGATCGTATACAAGCCTCACGCGCCTGCCCAACATTACCGTGTTCAACTAGGCCTGCCCCAACCTCTCCAACCGTGTAGACTATCCGTCGTTAATTCCTTCGTCCCCCTCCCCGATGCCACCAGAACGCCTCCAAAATGCCGTGGCAATCCGCGCCGCCGCTTGCCATCATCACGGTCGCCCTGGGCAGCGTATCCGGGCTCATGTCGTTGACGAACTACCTGACGGTGGGCCGCACGGACAGGCTCATCGGCCTGGATGACTTCGATTACATGTAAGCCCCCGCGCTAACGTGTGTGTGTGTGTGTGTGTGTGTGTGTCGGTTATTGGCGTTGACCGCGGCAACCAGCTGCCCAATGAAAAGGCGTCACACTCACACAGACGTCAGTCTCAGTGCGATTGAGAGCAGAAACCGATTCCTGGAGGCCACGATATGGAATTCCGTCCGTGTTTTGGTGTGTATCAAATAGCATCGACCGCGGTAACCAGCTGACCAATCAGACGTCAGTCTCCCTGCGGCCAAGAACGGGAAATGTTTCTTAAGGTCGTGATCTTGGGCCCCGTGAGGGGGGCGTCATGGGGGAGGTTAAGTGTCCGTGTGAACACCTGTGTCTTTGTTGCTAGCATCGACCCCCGCTAACCGGCTGGTCTATGCAATATGTCAGTCTCAGTGTGGAGACCACCTTCATAAAGGTGCAATCTCCCCAACGTCTTTTGAGGACGATTCCCTCTTTTGGGGGTCGACGAAGAGATATCAAGAGTGCCTTTCTCATTGGCGTTCGACGAAAGTTTGATCGCGGGATGGCAGCGCAGAAAAGTTCTTGTGAAAAAACACGGCGCCGAAAGAAAAGCAGCCACTCTGACATCTCTTCGTCGACGCCATCGTGTAAAGAGGGAATCGTCCGTGTGTTTGTCTATCTTCAGAGAAATTCAAGGAAGAGCCGTCCGCCTCCGACTGAACTCGGAGGCATGTTTATGTTTTTAAGCACGGCAAACGACACGACAAGGTACATATACCCTGGGGTCGAAGAGCGACTTTTAGTTTGGTACATATCTACTGTTTGACCACGTCATATGAGCCCAGCTGATTGGTCAACGCCCATGTTCATCGTGCCGTGTCCCCAAGTAGCCCGGGGTACACCCTGCCACGTCAACTTTTCTCCAGAATGGTACCCTGATTGCGGTAAACGGGAAATGGGACGCGATTTCGCCGGCCATGTTGTCTGCTGTAATCCATTTCCAGCCCAACCATAGGATACCAGCCACGAGTTATTCCCGCCCGGCAAACAATGGCTGACACACTGCAGACTTCCGTTGGGAAAGCAATGGACGTGTGGTGAGGTATGCCAGATACGAGTCACGCTCAGAACACGACCGATCCAGCATGGTTGGAAGCAGCATGGCTAACACATCAACTCACGTGTGCGGATGGACGTGTGGCGGCGACCAAGCGGAAAGCCACACACACACGCCGACCGAATCATCACGCAAGTATGGAGCGTACCCAACGCCAAGCAGAGTAGATCGAACGTGCTGCAAAATACCACAGAATTGTGCTGGAAGGGCGAAGACATCACGAGCTTCCTTCTGAACCAAACCCCGATTGATGTGCTGTGCGGGGTGTGGAAAAGCACGGTCGGCGTAGATGTGTGTTGGCTTGGGATGACGAGGCGGCTAATTTGTTTTACGCCACTCGAACCTTCCTCGATGGTGATTCGGACGGCGTGTGGGCTTGCCTAGCCTTCGGCTTCTCCGCCACCACGACCCCGCCTCCCCGCATCCTTTATCCGACGTGGCAACCTTACCGCTTTCAACCATGCTGGGTCGATCGCGTTCTGAGTGTGAGCTCGACCTCACCACACGTCGATTGCTTTCCCAACGGCAAGGCGCTGTGTGCCAGCCATTGTTTAGTTTGGAGCCGGAAGAGCTCATGGTTGGTATCCTGCGGTCGGATCAGAAATTGATTCCTGCGGAGGAAACGGCCGCTGAAGGGATCCCATATCCCGTCAGATGAGGGCACGTTGCCGAAATGAGGTTACAATTCCAGAGAAAGTAGCTGCGGCACGGGGTGTATGCCTTGCTATATTGGACACGGTAAGGTGAAAGTGGACGTCGACCAATCAGCTGGGCTCGTTTGACGCCGTCAAAATGGTATGTACCCAGCTAAGTGGAGTGGTGCCTGGACCAGAAGTCGCTGAAGCCATGATGCCGCCCCGCACAGTAAAGCAGCCGTTTTTGAGCAGGGTACATACCCTGCTGTTTCTGTTGCCCTTCGAAGTGCACATGTCTGAGACGAAAACTCCGACATGTATTTTGGGCGCCGCCTACACAGCTGAAGGGCAGTTTTTGAAGTCCGCATGATGTGCAACGGTGAAGGCTCCAACGATGATTGCCGGGAATACCACAAAACGCGGAAACAAGATGGTGGGACAAGGAGAAACCACAAAAGTCTGGACGAAGGTACATGGAAGTGAACACGCCGTGTCTGAATAGCGTACAACGCCGAGGGAGACGTCGCAGAGGAACTGCCCTGAGGACGCAGCGAACAATGCCTGCGGCCAAGAGAAAAGCAGCACAATGAGGCAACCGGACCATTTCTTGGGCAGGGTGGCTGGTTATTTTTGAATTTCCGGCAACCAGGGGGTAGCGTCCCCTGCTGGCTTTCGGTAGCACCATGTCCGACGTGCATGCTACAGAAGGTCCTCACGTAGCCACTGGTATGGGTCCAGTCTTGCTGCTGCTCTCTTTACCATGCCCCCCCCCCCCACTTCTCAAGCACGCAGTCCTTTTTCTCTACCTGCTACATAGATTCAAACAGCGGGTGCATTTTGGTCATTTTCCTGTTGGTTTCACGCATGCACCTTGTGCGGTGGTTCTTTGTTCCGTTTGCTTTGGTTTGCTTGTTCAGGCTGTTGAAACGCGACATGCGCATCCGCACCCCCCCGCAAGCCGCGGTGGACAGGATGCTGGCGAACCCGGCGACGAGGTCTGCATTGGAGAGGGCAAACGCCGACATGGCAGCAGCCGCAAGCAAGGTGACTTAAGAAATATCTACAACGTGCTATCGAAGACTTTCAACCCGTTTGAGACAGAAACGCAGTCGAAATGATGTGTTGAAATATTTTCATTTTCCCGGCACCATCCGGAGTGCGTTTTTTTCTTTTACTCGCGCGCTTCGAATCAGGACCAACCATGATTTTTCGGTAGGAGCACAGTACGGCGCACCGTTTTTTGCCCAGTTCAAGAGGAAGGTGCATGGGCACGCTTGCCGGTTGTAGGCATTGTATGTAGGGCGTGATGGGGGCGGGGTCCTTCAACGGTACGGAACGTTTGCCCGCCCTCGCCGCCGCCGGCAATGACGTCGTCGGAAGCGGCGGTAGGTTCATCGTGGGGCGGCGGAAGGGGAGCCGTTTCGAGTCCTTTGCCCTTAGCCTTGCCTCTCAGCGACGACAACTGCTGTCTTACCCTACCTACCCTACCTGTCGTTTTGCAACCGCTTCTCGTGTGGCGTTTGTGTTGTCGGCGCAGCAATAACGGCTTCTTTCGCAGACGGGGGGAGGGAGGGCGAGCTGCTGCCGGTGGGGCGCGGGGAGTGCAATGCGGTTCCACTTCGGCGGATTCTAATTTGGCTTCAACGCTGGGGTTCCAGGCAACGCTGCCGTAGCTTGTACCCGGCAGGCGCAACACAGCAGAGGATGGTTTGCGGATATAGACAAGCACGTGTGATACTACGCCGTTCGGGAAGGCCGGTGGTCGAAGCCTTAGAAATTGCGGGGGAACCTCAAAGGCAATTTTTGGACTTATCGGACGCTTAGCGTTTGAACGGGCTGGGTTCATGGCCATTTACAGCGCGTGTTCCTCCCCTGTTATTCGTATGTAGTGCTTCGCATGAAGCATTCTGCTTGCTTTTGACGAACGGGGTTAGTTGCTCTTGAGCGGGGCGCCTCGCCTTAGAACAGCGTTTCGCCTTAAAGTTACCTTTCATTTATCATTTGGAGAGGGCTTCGTTCCCCCTCAGCGGGGTTGTGGCCGACGTCTTGTATCGATTTTTCCGCTGCATGAAGGGATGCACCGGTGAAGAATGGTCGCCTGCGTGACGACTTGCTAGCGGCTCATCTTAGAGCAGCGTTTTGCCTTGAATTGATCTTCCATTGATCTTTTCGAGAGGGATTCGTTCCCCCTCAGCGGCGTTGTTGCGAACGTATTTCAAATATTTCTATCGCTGCTGCATACCATGACCCATTTATGTCAAGGATTTCCGGCGCTCACGTCTCAGCTTTGTCATCCACCACCTCCATATTTTGGTCGGCTGACGCACACGGCCCTTCGTACGTTACCTGTTCCTAGTCCGCGTCGATTTGAGCTGCTCGCTTATCCTTACCCTACTCTGACCGCAGCACATCACGTACAAAGTAGATTGTGGTTCTCGGTTTGGCTCCTGGTGCGGGGTCTAGTCTAGCGTCAATTGTGAGGTCCCAAGAAGAAGGTTCTGCAGCAGCATCAGCATTTGCTGAGTCCTTGCGCTCGGGACGCTGGGCTACCCGGTGTCCGGCGGCGTGTCATCGCCCATGGTCTCATTGCTGACGAAAAGTCTGCACAGATTCCACACACAGGTGTGTGAAACCTCCGAGAAGTCGTTTCGACTTGTGTCTTTGACGTCCAATTTTCGACCACATGATTCGACCTACAGTACTACTTTTCGTCATTTACAACTCTGGTCGCAGGAAGGCGCTAGCCAAAAGCTCTCAGCCACGTAGCTGTCTTGTTGCTCTCAACCGTCTAGGCAACTGCAAGGCAAACACGATCATACGCAAAAAATAGAACGCCTCTCTCGCTTGCTAGATTTAACATAAAACTGCCACGTGTCCGTATTGGACGCATGGTCGATGCGCCTATAGCTCGGCGGACACGGGAGCTGCAGGCCCTTGCACTTCAATGAGCTCGAGCTCGAAGACAAGGACGGCCCCCGGGGTGATGAGCTCCGATCGCTTGCTGTCGCCGTAGGCGAGTTCTGCGTGTCAAGGGAGGGGACGAGAACAACGGTGTTACAGAAACGAAGCGAGTGGCTAGCCGGGACAGAACGAAAAAGTGACGGGTTGTTCCTGTGAAGGTACTGTTTTCCTTGAGCGGAAAGGTGCACCTCACTAGCCGAATCAGAGGGCATGCGGCAGCTGTAGCCCACAGAATAAGCAGGGGCAGCATCGTCCATAACCCCCGAGACCATATCATTCCGGGACCCTACTGAAGCGTGTTTTGCAACCCGTGAGGATCAAGCGCAACGACTGACTGCCTGGCAACTGGGGAGAACCGTGGCTAGAGGGACATTCACGGTGCCCCCTCCCGTTCACTTCTTATCCATCTCACCGGAGGGAATGTAGAGTTCCCAGTGGTCGCCCTCCTGCAGTTCGTGGGACGGATCCGTGCAGCAGCACACATGTGATACGACGGTTACATAAACAACGAAGCGACACATCGCGTTTTAAGTTCAGTCGTGGCAAGAGAATACTTTCAAGTGCAGGTGGCGACAGCGAGCCCTCCAAACAAAGTCCATGCGTGCCAACGAAAGCCTCCCTTCCGCACCTCTTTCTGTTCACTCTGTGTCCGCTGCGTTATTCGGCACTAGGCCAAGGACGTCACTATTCATACCTTCGTCGATATGCACGACCCTACGCCAGTCCTACTGGGACTCCTAGACGACACCGACACTAGGTATCGGCTTCTTCAATATCCAATCATAACATTATCACCTTCATCATTTGCATGGCCTCCGTCCAGCCCTTGATCACCTGCATCAAGAAGATGTTCAGCAAACAGGGCGCACATTTTTCGGAGAGCTTTAGCCACACAGATGTGTTCTTTTACCCCGGTCCTTTCGCGAAATCTCTGGGGCCAGGTGTTTGTGAAAATTAATCGGTCATTTCGCCTGAAGCAGTTCGCTTTCGAAATCGATGAACCCATCGCGTTATCGTAAGCAAGACGCGCGATCCTACCGCGTGTCTCATGAGAATGGCCAAGAACGGCCGTTGAAACTACAAGAGGGAAGCAGAGCTTTGTGTAGCTTGACGGCGCTAACTTTGTCCATGTGGTCGGTACCTGGTTGGGCGCAAACGCGGTCGGCTTGCCTCGCTTGAAGGAGCTGTCGAACTCCTCTCCCGTGATGGTGGTTCCTGTTCAAAGAGGGAAGGAAATACACACACAAGCAGCAGTACAGTAGCAGCGGCTAATACTGTTCAAGAGCGATTACCGTATATGACACAAGATAACACACCTCTTTGACCAATTTTCGAAGCTCGATTTCTCAACTGCAGGAACAATCACAGCGCCAAAAACGGCGGCGTTGAAACCGTCTCGTCAAGAGCTTTTCGAAAATGTATCGTTTCGTTCATGCATCCTCTTCGTCGTGGAGTAATCGAGCTTTGAAAATCGGTCCAGGGGATGTGTTATCTTGTGTCATATACTGTATTCAAGAGAAAAATGGAACAGCTTTTTGCTTGGGACCATGAAAAAAAACGGATTGAATACAGCGGGGTTGGCTTGTTCCGACCATCTCTTAAAGCCAACAGCACTCTATTAGACCATGTAGCAAAAAACAAAACGCCGATAGCGAGGAGGAGAAGCAGCAGCAGCAACAGCAGCACACGGATGCAACAGCACCGAGAACGGCGACACGAGCATGGAGAGCATCGTGAGGGGGTGACAAGTTCCATCAGGAGGGGGAACAAGGGAAACAGCGGTAGTAGCAGCAGCAAGAGCGCCCCATTTCGTTTCGAGTATGGGTGCGAGAACTCCACACCAAATACACCCGTGACCCGTGACCCCCTGCTCAAACTACCGTACCACAACAGCAACTCGGGGATCCTGATACGATGAATCTCCCGGGGACTTCAGTTGGATTCCCCAAGAACTACCGGACGTCTGGAAGGTCGCCTTACATTCTCTTCAGCATTCGGGACGTCCGCTGCATGTACCTGGGTACACCGTACCGAGACTGGGCCTAAATGCGCAAACTGCTGTTTCTTGTTCCCATGATGTGTCGCAGAAGCTGAATCATTAGTAGTCTTTCATGCGTGGGTTCTCAACTTCTGCCTCTCTACCCCGATCCTGTTCCCAATAAACTGCTGTCAGCTGGCTGTCTATTCCTAAACGCTGCTGCTGCCAGCTGGTTGTCTATTCCCAAACGCTGCTGCCAGCTGGATGCCTTTTTCCGAACAATGCTGTCAGCTTGTCGTCTGTTCCCAAACACCGCCTGTGCTGTTAGCTGTTTGTCGGGCACTTCGGGTGTTCCCCTACAGACTGCACAGTAGCCCACAATTACTGGGAACACTGGGGACGGGTAACAGCTTCTGCATGGTTCAGGCAGGGAACAGCAGATCCGTGGGAAAGTTCGTATCGGGCGATCCACTTTCAAAGACAGGCGCGCATATGTACACAGCGCGGACGAAGGGCCACAATGGCGGGGAGTTTGTCTGTGGCAGCAAAACACGGACGGTGTAACACCATGAAACCAGCGTACTCGCTGTAAACCCGTTGTCCGCAATGCCCCGCTCACCTCTGTAGTGGCACAAGCACTTGGTCCCGACCAGGGGAGTCTTCCCCCCCGCCTTCCCTGACTTGAGGATCTTGTACTGCAGGCCAGAGGCGGTCTCAACGACGCCCTCCTTGTCCTTGTTGGCGGCGAGGAACGCCTTGCCCTCCTGCAACGCCCGCGGTCAACATGGGATCCATACATGCGTCTTGTGATGTGTGCAACGAGTAGTATTGCAGGTGTAACATACGGTTGTCGAAGTATTTAGCGCTTTCTGTATTCGCATCCCAGCATTGTTTGGTGCGTTCGTGACGTGCATACCCTAGTTTTCCTTGTTGTAGCAACAGAATGTCATGTGTATGTCCCGGTTGTTCATGCGGGAAATTTAGGGGCAATCCTACCTTCCTTCCGGAAGTGCATGCAGCAGCAGATCTACAGCAGTAGTGTAACTGGCATTTTACGGATGCCGTCGTGTGTGCATTTGAATGCTGCCCTTTCTCATGGAAGCTATCGTATAACTAACCCTCAACAGTTCTGCAACGCAACACATTAGGCTACCGGTACCGCGCACAAGAGAAGTTCAAGTTCCCACTACACCAATGCCCCGCACGTGTGCGTAGACTACAGCTTGTTTGTCGAGGGTATCGAGACTGCGACGGTGTCGATGAGAAGCACAAGACGGCCTTGCATCGAGACCGCGAACGCGTCGATGAGAGAGGCACAAGACAGTATTGTCAGGTTTGACGCGCAATATCACCGCCCACCCAATTTCCTTGGGAACACAACCGAGCAGCAGCATCAGCTGCTGCAGCAGCGGCAACCACTGCCGGCCTACAGCAGGGGCGGCTGCTTGTGTGGTGGCAAACTGCTGTCTCCTCTCCAAAAGCCAGGAGATCAGAGATTATCATTTTCGGCAATAATAAGATCTCCCGCAAAATCCACCCTGTACTCCCAGCAAAGGAAGGTACGTAGGTTCCGTACACATCACACCCCTCATCGTGCGCGCCCAAAACGAGGGTACGCTCTCATCGCCAACAGGGCAAGAGCGAAAGGCCAAGAGGTGGCACCAAGGCCTGTTTGTTGGTGCCGGAGGAAAAAAGATTGTCCAACCCTCCGCGCCACAGCCCTTTGCCGCCTGCTGCTGCCGCCGCTGCCGAAAAAAAAAAAGTGCTCCTCTTCTAGTTCTCACCGGCGTTGTCCCCGCCAAGACGCCCGCCACGAGAGCCAGGGCAAGCAAGAGGACCTTCAGGACAGACATCATACTGTGTGCTCGGGGAGGTGGAGTCTAGAGTGCAGTTGACGTTGGTTTGGAATAGGGAAGACGCAATTGCTTGTGTGATTCCGCGTGGCAGGGCAATACAGCACACGTAGGGGTGGAGCAACTTCAAAAATACGATCCACGGTGCCCCCATGCCTGCCGCAACTGCGTTTGGACTCTTCCGCTTCCTGCTGTATGTCACCACACACCACGGAAGCAGCAGCCTGCCGGGATCTTTGCTGCCTCTCCTTGTCGCAGACACAGAAGCACAAGCAGAAGCAGCTGGGAGGGTGGCCCCAAGCCCCTTGTGTTTCCCTGCATCTGGAGGGGAGCCGCTGTCTGCCGAGGCCTTGGTCGCACAAAAGCGGACGGAGGGAGGGTTCCAGCCAATTTGGGTGTTCAAAAAGTCTCTCCCCCTCCTCTGACGGTTTTGCCGAGATCATCGGCTGGTCTCTCGGGAGATGCGCTTCTTCGCGAGGTGAGGAGATGTAGGTGTAGAGCAAAAAAAACGGTAACTCTGTTCTTGTTGTGGGGCCGTGCAGGCACAAGTGGAATGGCCGCACGGCAATGGTGGAAGCGCTGAGACGCCCGAGTGAAATCGGATCCATTTGGCTCGAAAAAAAAAGAAAATTCGTCATCTCTCCCCCCCCCCGCACACCATTGTTATTTCGGTATAGAAGACGTACATACGCCAGAGACCTTTCTTTTGCAACACACATCGAAGGGAGGACTTTCATGCACCCGTGTCCGTGTTAGCACTTTTGGCATCGCAGGAGTATACGCACGCCCCGTTTTCCTCCGCCCGGCAGCATCCGGCCCTTTGTTTCTCTGTGCACTTCTGCTGGGTGTAAACAGTAGTTCGTAGCCATCGCGCAGGGAGCAGCTTCTTCGTATGCCCTTTCAACCATTTTACATCAAAACATGACAAAAGAGAGTGCTTAAGTGTATTTTGCTCCGCTTACGACAGGTAGCTGACTCCTTATTTTCACACATAAATGCCCATTTATACATGTGCACACGTATGATAGTACGCCAGTAAATAGTGCATGCCACAGACCCGCGAGCAAGCAACCATCCGCATCCCTTGCCGCTTCGCGCGGACGAACTCGACTATTGATATGCGCCATCCCAACCCCGCCGTCCGAACACCGCCGGCCCCTCCGTCGATCAACAAATGATTACGACGCCCTCATTCACGCCGCCGCCCCTCGCCGCCGATCAAGGTCCTCGGGCGATGCCAGAGGGAGGTGGTCGTCATCCCGCCGCAACCACAACGGCCAATCCGCCCAAAGCACCAACCAAAACAGCCCGGGCTACGCGGGATCAGCGGGGCCCGCGGACACCTTCCCGAACTCGCCGTCGATAAGCCCTCAGGCCGAGCGCGAGGCCGAAGATCCGTGGGGCGCCGCCGACTTCCTCCCGTGCCTGCCGGCGGGGGGG